CTCTATACAGTGGTTGTATTACTGTAAAGGAACTTGGCTTGATTCAACAAGAGAAGGAGCAGTTTCTCAAACTTTGTAAATTTATGGATGTTGAAAGAATCACCAAAAGCTACCTTCAAGGAAGCCAGGAAAACGTGGATGTTGGCAACTTAGTTAAGAGAGTTATCAAACAGCGAGAAACCGAATTAGATGCTTTTTCATATGCTACATTATGTGTCGGTGTGATGGTGACTATGTGTAGAGAAATATTCTATGGTGAGTTTGAATTCTGAAGTGTTTTCATGCATAAATATTGTTCATGTTGCTGTTTACATTGTAGGCAAAATACTTAGCAAATTTAGAAATTACAGTGTGTCTATTTTATTCTAAAATAGATAGCAATGGAAAAAAGTCACCAGCTGTGGATACCAAACAAATTGAGGATGATTTGGAAATGAGAAAGGAGAAACTGCAGCTGAAAGACTTATGTAATCCAGCTGAAGTGCACATGATAATGATTTCAATTTGTACTCCAGAAATCACATTCTACAAATTCTCGGATGACGTTTCTGCAATGCTTCACGAAATTCAAAGAATTCATTTAAGTGTAATTTTTCAACACTTCTGGAAAAGAAGGGTCAAAAGGGTTGTACAACAGCGAGCAGAAAGCAACAATCTCATGACATTAGATGACGTCGAGAAGCAAATCTGGCAACAGGTGAAGGAGGAGTGGCAGGAATTTGGTGTCAAATTGATAACAGGTCTAATCACATTAAATTCCATTACCAACAACTTGCAAATTGTCAATGATAATGCTTTAGAGGATAGTCTAAAAATCTTCAGAATTGGCAACTCTCCAGATAAGTGGATAAAGGAGCGTTCTGACCAAATCCGTCTGTATCGACAACTTAGTAGGTGTTTAGTAACTGCTGAAACTATTCAAGAGATTCAAACAACATTTGAATTGCAAGGAGACTTTAGCTCCATAGAGCTCCTGTGTTCAACAGTAAGTTTCCTCTTTTACTTCTCTTACATTGTACTTCAACCATGCAATAAATTTAGTTAATTATATTCTCATACTCTATTTGTGTAAATAAATCTCAAATAGGTTATTTCTCATCTGTCATAGATGCTGGGTTTATCTAGGACAGCTGCCTTAGTAGAGTTTTTGACACACATCCATGTCAACACTTTTAACATCTTTGATTGTGTACTTAAAATGACAAGTAAATAAAGTGAAATGGAATTTATTAAGTTTAATTGATTTTAGAGCAAGAGGGATTTCAAGAACAAATGTCTAATAGACTTAAATACAGATGTTGCCAAAGCCTGTCGAGAGTTGGAAAATGTCACTAGGGAAGAAACCAAAAGTTTAAAAACTTTGATGAAATGTAAAAAACTGATATTGTGGATCAAAAGAGAAATCAAAAGTAAGTGTGTATTTATATTTTAAATGATTAAATGGAACAAGCAGACAATTTTAAAATGTAACAATATTGCTAAAAACTTATTTAGAAATAGTATAATACTTTTTTGATAGATATGCAGGAGCTGAAGGTGTTTGTGGATCTTGCAATGATCCAAGCTGGTGAAAATGACATTGAAATTAGTAGAGTCTCCTGCCTTTACCAAGCTGCTACAGGCTATGCTGCCTTCATTTTTGATCTGAATGAAGAATTTGGCTACACTGATCTAATGACCATCTGCAAACATACATGGATAACTTTGAAAAATGACCCAATGCTATCAGAGAAACTTGTAAGTTGTTACTTATTCTAAGCAAACCAGAAGAACATCTGTAAATCATGTACTTTCTCTTTTATAGTACCAAAACTCCAATATCCATCCAAACTAGAACTGTTGCTCTTTCTTCTAAAATATATCATCACTATTTACATTGCTGGTGGCCAACTGGGCACTTGGTAGCAATTTTAAAGAAATGCTTGATCGGCAGTGTTGCGCTCTAGACTGGCAGAAGTTGTAGTGTACTTTGGCGTGTAGCGCCATCCAAGGCCCGAGCCGGAGAGGGGTTTGGGAGAGGGGGGTCCCCCTTCCCAATGAGAAGATTTTTTAAAACTAAAAGCCATTAGACGCTCATACAGGGAATCTTGACCTGAGAAAGGTGTTTTGGTAATGCCAAGTCGAAACTTTCAGGCAAAGCCTCCCCAACCCCTGTAGCTATACCCCATGAGGACTGCCACTGCTCGATCGGTGATTCATATACTGTACTTATCATATTGTACAAAAATTTAGAAGTACTTTTTTTATTGAAGTTTGGCATCAGTGCACAAGAAAATCATGTGTGATCATTAAGGAGAAGGTGATTATGTTTAGTGAATTCATTTTACATTAAAATCATCTTTTTCATATTTTACTCTTTTTAGGAGGATACTAGTCGTCATATGGAATGGTTGAAACACATCAAAGACTCTTATGGATCCGCAGAAGTGGCTTCGTTACACCAAGTGAAGAGAATTAATGCTGGTGAGATCTATGAAATTGGCAAATTGAAAGAGGTATTTTCAAATACGTAAATAATTTACTATTAAGGCTTAAAAGATTAGCTATGTTTATTTGCAAACAAATGGGATGTTTTCATCAGCTTTCTAATGACAATTGATAACTTTCACCACATACACGATTACTAAAGTATTATCTTAATTGACATTTCAGAGTGAGGTAAAATCCAGCAAAGATACTTCCTTTGAGAGCCTTCCAACAGTTTTATGCCGATCACAAGAAGAGACATATAAAAAGGAAGTTGAAAAATCTCAACAACTATTACCAGGTAAATTAATGTATCCTCAATTAATTTCAACTGGTTTCATATGGTTTAATGGTTATTGTAGAAGCGGTTGGCGGATCAGTTGTGGCTGGGTCTCCCAAAATCGAGGTCAGGGATGCGAAACACTCGCTGTGCACGTCGCTTGTGTCCTTGGGCAAGGCACTTTATCTACGTTTGTCTCTCTACCTGGTTAGCATTGAATGTACTACTTTCATGTGATAAGAAAGTAGCGCACGACTACGTATATTCCCCAGTGAGCAGAGAAGGTTGCACTTTGTGTGCTGGTTTGCCACAGCATGTTATCCAATGACCAGGGGTAATAACACTCAGCGCATTTGATCATATAATTTGGAATTGTCACTATATAAATATTCCAGCATTACCATTATTATTTAACAGAACAGATAATTTTTCTACGTGTATATCATTACTACTGTTACTAAATAAGCATCTGGTTGGTTATGCATGCGGAATTTAACTATTTTTACAATAACTCTAATGTCAGAATAGTCATTTTATAATTACTTTTAGTATACCATTAAGATGTAGCTTAATGCTAATTCTGCTAAAGCAAGCTATAGATGTGGAAATTACAATACCACTTCTAAATAAAAGTCTAACTTTCAAACCACAACAGCATGGCTCGATAGTTACCCTAGGCATAGCCTCAGTATTTCTAGGCTGTAGAACAAATGCCTCCTAGGATACAGACCTGAAGCTGAGCTAATGAAATTGATCTCATATCAGCAGGGCTGGAAAAAGTGTGAGACCGTCGGTCAGAGGCATTGCAGCCATTACCCCTGAGGCATTTTAGAAAAAAAAAAATGTTTTAAAATTGTTACACATTACAATCTAATGATACAGTAATTAAATTAAATCAGAGGCCGCCTCTCTAGGTTAGACCCAGGCTAGCCCAATTAATAAGCCTAAGGTGGACGACTGTTCCATGGTAAAACAACGTAACTTGAAATTTTCAAGTTTGGAGAAAAATAGAGTTAAAGTTTGTGTGTTTGTAACTTTGCAATAAATTGTCATAACCTTTTAAAATTTGGCAGGATTATGTATCTATAGACATTGTGATTATATGTAAAATTTTATTTTATTAGCGATAATTACAGATATGTTGTTTTGCCTTGGAAACATGTCAGGCTTGGCATTGTTACAAGTACGACATATTTTTGGCATTTATCACATTTGGGCCAATCATATGCATTACCTAGCTTGTTCATTAACCTCTGTTAAGATTATTGATATAAAAACACCAATAACCATTTGATTTTGCCTTGCCAAACTCCATCGGCTCAAGACAAATTTTTAATACCATTCCGTGACAAAACAACATATTTTCATTGCAGATAAGTTGTTTTGCCACGTAATCTTGTAGTTACGTTATTTTGCCACGGAAAATCACTAGATTTTAAGTTTTGTGCCTAAAGACAGGTGGTGCTTTCTCTAAAACGAATCATTATTGAGACCTGAAATTTTCAGAGGTCATTCAGACGTGTTTAATATACTCCCAAATGATATTATCTCAAAATCAGCGAAAATGTCAGTTACGTTGTTTACCTCGGAACGGATGTGGACCAGTTTGCTGGCCTAGTGATTTTTAATCATACTCACAATTTATACGACATTCAAACAATGGTTTTGGTTGTTTAAATAATTATTTTTGTAGTACGTTCATTCATACACAATGTTTGAAACATTGCTGTTAAACTTGATTCGCTCAAAAAAATCACAATCAATTTGTTTTTTTTGGGGCTCGATGTCATGCGAGTACTGTAGCTTCACTAACGTCAATGACAAAACGCACATGGTTGGTAAACTTGCTGATGACATCAGGTTGCCAGATGGACTGTTATATATATTTGAGAAAATCAGCCTCAAAAGTTTATGATTTGGGTATTTCTCAAGCAGAAAGCAAATCATTAAAAATTGTAGTTTTAACACTGAAAATGGAGAAATAACAGCATAGAATGATATATAGATATATAAAGCCTGAGGTTAGTTTAGTGAAATAAAACAGATTTTAAAAATGTTGACATTCTATCATGTTTTGGCCATTATCTCTGAAACAAGATTTGCGACGAGTGACTGGTTTAGCTTTTCTTTGCCGCATATTATTACCCAAAATACTTTTATTGTCCAATGCTATTTTTTTTTAAATAGCCTTTATTGAAAGTAGATCCTTAAGTATTTATACTGTATTGTCTTACAGATATGTCCCTATCCAAGGCATTACAGTTTATGGATAAGAAAGACCTTGAGTGTGCCATATGCCTCAGCAGGTTTCAACAACCAAAGACACTGAAATGCATGCACACATATTGTCTACAGTGTATCCAGAAATGGGTGGAAACTCATGGAAAGATGAAATGCCCAACATGTGGACAAAACCATAATCTAACAAAGGAAGATTTAAAAAAGCTGGCTTCAAATGAAATGATAAGTCACATATTAGAGTATGTCAAGAAAACCGAGGATCAAACACCAACAAAATGTTCTGTTTGTGAAAACCAACCAGCATACCATTGCTCAACATGTCAACTATTCCTATGTAGAGATCAATGTATCAAACATCACAAGACAATACCTTCAACTAAGGATCATCCACTTTACAAACTAGACATAAAGGAACAAGACGGCCAACCAACCAATTGCCAAGTTCACTGCAACACTACACTGGAATTTTACTGCTCCAATTGCAACAAGTCAGCATGTAAGAAATGTGAACACATCCTTCGCTGTTATCAAAAACAACATAAAGTGATTCCAATATCAACTGCTGTAGATAAATTCAACAAAGATGCCAATGAAATTGTTGAGTTAGCTCACAAAATTGAAAAGACACTAACAGAAAAACTAGAAATGTTAACTAAAGTTAGATCAGAATTTGATTCCCAATTGAAGTTATGCAGAACAGCCATAGAAATCCAGGAAAAGAAACTTATCAGGAATGTTCAAGAGAAAACTAAAGAATTAATATCAGACCTTGAAAGTATGTACAAAAATAAAGAAAATGATGATAGTGAAATTAATGATATAGATTTAAAGATAAATCAAGTCAAGAATCTAATAGTCTCAATCAATTCAATAATGAACAAACCAGAAGAAACAGAAACTCTTTTAACCCACAAGGCAACTATAAAAGCTGTTGAAGACAAGGTCCTAGGAAATGATTTTGAACAATCATTTCAAAAGAGAAATATCACACCAAACTTCATTCCATCTATGCAGATGGATCAGTTGATGAATACCGAGGGCATTGGTAAAATCACAGCTGTTGATCAAGGTTGCAAAAATGATGCAAAGTCAGCAGAGAATGATGTACAGGTATGCCAATTTGAAGAATCATTAGCTGAGGTAGAATATCAGGCTAAAGTCGCATCGCACTGGATTTAAAATAGGGAAATTTTTACCGAGACTGTGGGTAACATTCCAATGGGTAAACTTCCTGTCGTTTGCACTGGGATTTATCGACGTGGTTAGTTTTACCACAGGCCATGGTGAAACTAACCATTCGTACAGATTCAACTATTGGGGGCGCTAAATCGTGACGTTCACTTCCGGTATGTGTGGCAAAACAATTAACGAAAGCGCGCGCGGCAATGCTCCATATAAATCGGCCATTGAAACAAACCGAGTAAACAAGTGAAAAAAATGACAAAATTACTCAAAATCAAGACACTAGCAAACACGCGCGAAATTAATCAAGATGTTTGTGTGTGACGTTTTTATAAGAGACAAGCTCATGCGTAATTGCCTGACAGCCTGAGGAAGGTCATTCACTGTGATGACTTGGGAAGTTTACCCGACTCGCGCTGTTCGCATTGGACTTTCCTGCTAGGTAAAACTAACCTGGTCAGTTTTCCTGCGCGGCTTGGGTAAGTTTCCTGTCAGGTAAACTTCCTGTGCTGTTCGCACTGGACTAATTATGGTAAAACTAGCCAACGTGTTGGTTAGTTTTACCAAAAAAAGTCCAGTACAATTGTGGCTATAGGCTTAGCCAGCCAGCTGTCCGGCTGTCTTTTGGACGGCCTACAACTATTTAAGACAGCCACTTTTACCGTGACAGCTTCGACAGCTTCGACAGCTTGTCCTAATCAGCTTGGCCTAGCCTAATTAGGCATGGTTTTTCTTTAGCAAATTCTTTATATTCTTCAAATCTATCAAATTGATTGAATGCATGTTGTTTTCGTACCAATATTCGGTGGGGATACCCAAAGATAGGTGTGGCCCGCCATTGGCTCAGTGCCACACCCACTGGATTCCATTTTGAACAGCCTATTTCGTTTTTCTGGCTAAACCCCTAATATCAGGGAAGTGGAGAGTATGAAATAACACGTAGATGCAATGTGCAGGCCGTAGTCAGCTATTGGGACAGTTGGGACAGTCCCACGCAATTTTTTCTAATGGGTCCACAAAGAATTGCTCCACATTTTCAAAAATGGGTCCAAATTATGCAATTTTATGCATAAAACAAATCTACTTTTTGAAAAATAGGTCCAGCTTTCTCATATTTACCCAAAATTAATAAAATCTTATAAGAAAACGGTTTCAAGATTTTTCATATTTTCGCATAAAATGGGTCAACTTTTAAGAAAATGGGTCCACATTATTTGAATTTACGCATAAAGTGGGTCCACCCTGATATTGTCCCGCACTGTTTGAAAATCCTGGCTACAGCATTGTGTGCAGGGATGTAGTTATGGTTTTTTACAGCTACAACCCTGGCAAATGAAGGTAACTGTGCCAGGAGCTACAAACAATGGGTTATCTCCAGAGAATATTAAGGTGGAAGCACTGGGACTTGTTCATACCATTAGTAAACATATCATGTTATAAAGAACATTAATTTGTAGTTAAGATGTTGGATAAGAGTGCAAGTTTTTCTTGTTCGGGTTTATGCCCATTCTCTTTCCTGGCAATACTGTAACATGTCTTTTTGATGCCAAATAAATATTATTATTATTATTAATAAAACAGAAAATGTGGTAGGTGTAGCGTTTGACACAGATGGATGCATATTAGTATCAAGCGACAGTAAAGATATATTAAAGTTCAACAATCAGGTACATTTGTTGCTAGATGATGCTGGTGGTGGTGGTGATGAGGATGATATGATAAAGTTTTGAAATGTTGGGTCCTATTTGTGTTACTATTTATTTTGATGAGAATATATTAGTAGTAGTAGTAGTAGTATCCTCACTAATTCGTAAATTACAATTATTTGATAAAAATGTTGACTTCATAAAACAAATAGATCATGAAGATGATGGATTAGAACTTCCATGGGAAATCAATGTAAGAGACAAGTGTAGCAATATGCAGACCAAAATGCGAACAATTTTAAAATATATAATTATTAAAATGACATTGAAATTCATGAATCGCAGTATCATAACATGATACATTTCATATAGATCTACCCTATTCACAAAAGAAGAATGTTTGATAATTGACCACAAGTGAAAATGGACGCAGAGAAGGATTATATAATTTTAGGTCATTTAGTCACCTACAGTATTGGGTATAATCATTTTTATATATTATTTTTACTTTAGACTCATCGTAAGTAGTTACTGTAGATGTTAAAGTTTATTATATCCCTAATTAAAAAGTATTTTCTTAATGTACAGCTAGTTTTAGGTATTTTGTTTTCATTTTTCCATTTCTATTTTTATTCTAGGGTCAACAATCAACAATGAATCTCTTAAGTTACCATGACGATAGTTTACTAAGTATATTCTCATGTACAGCTACTGTAGGAGTCAATAAATTTATTTCAATGATTACAATTCAAATTCTTATTATAGGGTCACCAATATATGTTCTGTTTACTTTATAGATAATTCTTAAACACTTTATAAAATTATCTTTTAATATGCATTTTCATTTGTTGATGAATAAAGAATTTAAAAATTGTAAATGTATGCAATTGCTTACCTGTTGATACTGTAACTCAAGTATGTCTTTTTTTTCACACTATACAAGCTATGCCTAGGCTGAAGTCTCCTTTCTTTGGCTAAAGGAATAGGGTGAATATATCAGTGTTCATGAGGTTAAGCTTCTTGTTACAGTAGTCTCTTGCTGCTCATGTGATGCACTTATCTGACAGTCGTCCAGATGCTCAGCCTTGAGGTGAAACCTAGAAAACATAAACAGGACAATTCAACAAAAGGGCGCTTATCTTGGGACATCAAAGGTTGCCATTCTGACCCTTCACGCTTGACTGAGCTAACATGCCCTAATAATCAAACCATAGCAACCAAACCGGACCCAGACCATAGCGACATGGCCTGGGATGTGGGCCTACAGATATTTGTTTCCCCATAGACCCGGAAAGTATCTGTTACCGACCTGGAGATGTAATAATGGTGTGAAAAGGGCCGGGAATAGGTTTATGTTATTTACCCGGGGCTCCCAATTGCATATTTTCGTGGCGGAAGGTATGCTAACTGGCCAAAAAAAAATATTTTGGTTTTTTTCTGAAAATGTTTACACCATTATCAGTGGTATATCCTTTGCCTAGACCTATTGTACTTGTGACGTACTAGTGCGGTGAGAGTACCAGGTCATCCAATAGATAGAAGCTTGCATCCGAAAACTCATTGTTTACGAGCGCTGCAACCACACTACAAAACATATCCCCACCAGTGATTTACAGTCATTAGAATATTGCCCTGCAGAGTCGAAGGTAGCTGAGATTTGCACTGGGAGTTTACTGCTTGGAAATGTATTCCTGGCTAAAGCCCCACTGGTGCCTGGTCCAGGTGGAGGGGGAAGACTACAATTGACAAGTGCATAACTACCCATGCACGTGTCAGTGCCATAATAATTGCATGTCATGCGGTGATTACAAAGGCCTAACAATTTTTTTTAAATAGCATTAAACTGAAATTATAACTATCTTACTGATAGTTCATGAGACTCACTTGTCGATGCCACTGCGGGACTGTAGGCACACGCTTGACTACGTCCGTGAGCATCCTGTTGTTGAATCTATTATATAAGAACAAAATCAAAAAGTGAATCGTGTGTGATATCCTACTGTATTATAACGCCCTCTGTTGAGCGGACTTGTTGAATGTGGAAATTATAACCGTGGTTCCCAAACTTATTGCATTTATTTATTTTACTCTATTTATTTAGGCACACAACACATGCACTAAGGATTGTCAATAGCGAATATATCACTGTCCTACTTTTAGGACAATCTCTTGCACAAGACAAATAGGCCTACACACATATTGAGGTGCTTTTACACAACAAAATCTCAAAATGAGGTTTATAGAGAGTGAAGTTGTTTTTGGCCATGAGAAAAATTCCTTCAACACAGACTGGCATTGGGATTGGAAAGTAAGCATCTTAACCAGCAAGACCTCTCTCTGAGCAATTCAATCCCGGCACTCCTAGAAAGTAATTTTTACATGGGGTTGAGACAACCTCAGCCTCCAATGCTTGGAAGTGGGGTACACGATGTGTGTGTTATAGCACTTCTAGATGAAAGGAGACAGCACTGTCAGACACAAAAAATCTGAATGTAATTTCAACAATGATTTTTTAAAATCATTGTTGATATTCCACCAATAAGATTATAAATAGAAGATGATTCACCACAAAAGTACAACATTAAAAAGTGGCGTCCTGGAATTCTAAAGAGGGAGTGTCTGAAAGTCAATTTCTCAATTTCTTCATTTCTTCATTTCTCAAAAAATCTCTATGTTTGAGGCCAGTATCTTTTAGAGCATTAGCTAACCAATGGCAAAATTCTAAATTTCAATTTCCAATCGCATTGCCTGTTCACAATTTATCCCACAGTATGTCACATGACCAACTTAGAGGAATTTGACTATTACTTACCTATCAAAACCTGTTGGTATGTTTCTTTTTACAGTTAAAAGTCATCACCGAGGTTGAACTTCGTCCACTTTAGTCTCAGGAAATAGTGTGAGTATATGAAGGTGCTTGAGAAACTTTATAGCTTGTGAGCCTTGGCTAGCTTGTGATGTCTTTGCCTGAACATGTACAAAAAAAAATTAAGACCTACAGTTTCTAAAATAAACAATATTGCAAGACAAACAAAGTCTAAATGATGAAAAGTAGAAAACAGATTTAAAGTGGATGTAATCGACTGACCTGGAGTCAAACTGCATTGAGTCTGGTAGTTGTAGTTGAGAGGAAGGCAACTGAAAAAAAGCAGTTGTCAAAATTAACAAATGACAATAGTATTAATGATACTGCAGCGTAAAAATAATATTATTAAAAATTGAAATTATGAAATTTATAAATACTGATAAAATGAATTGTTTTAGTAATTACATTATTAAACAATTAGTAGATAGTGCATAGTACACTATAGGAAAATTACTATACAAAGGTTAGATTTATTGCTTGAAATT